AATCTATTTGCCTGATAAAAGACCCTTGATAGCTGCTGCTAGTATTCAACCATTAAACTGATGACAGTGCTACACTGGCTCTGATTCAGTCTGATTGTAGTGGGTGGTTGTGGGTTATTGGTAAGAATAGATGGGACGACAGGGAATCAAGTCACCTCCTAGCTATGGAAGCCTTTTGCCTCAGACAGTGGTCACAGCTGCGCCCTCAGGGACGAGGAAATCCTTCAGCAACCAATGTGCGTACAGATCAGTCAAATCAGCTCTGAGTTGGAGGATAAAGATTAATTTATCATGAAATTCATTACTCAGTGCAATTACTATATTTACCATAATCTTTAATCTTACTCAATCCTCCAACTATTGACTTGGTAATATACTATAAGAGTGCATTTGATCATTTTCTTGTTATCTGAGCTGTATGTCCTGTGATTAACCTTTTAAAGCCTGGACATAAAATCACAGTAAGACCCTCCACTGACTGTCTCTGATTATAAGTTATACAACAGAACAAATCTTACACCTATTATAAGGTTTAATTTGTTCTTAGACACATACTCCTAACTTGTTTGCTATTAGGATGGCCTTCTTTTATTAGTCATCTTGGGCACTGTCTCATTTTCCTTCCTGGTCACTTTTATAATGCATTGAACTGAAAAATTAAAAGCTCATATTCAGATTTATAAAGGTAGTCCCCACATTTATTTAGTGCTATTAGCATCTGTTTGGCTATTAAGAGTCTCCACTTTTGTTAATGGCTGGGGTGAAAACTGTATAGTGTACAACTTAGATATTTTTAAAATTTCTTTTTAAAAATTTTGTATGTAGAACAAAAATTCATCATGAATCTATGTTCTCTGATGGCTGGGACAGAGACTGTGAGGTAGAGCAGTAGAGGATGGGTTTTTAAACTTACGCTTGAAAGTATGTTGTCCATCTATTGTTTTGGGGGGTGTTTTTTTTTTTCCACTTTGCATTAACCAGTCTCTTTGAGGGAAATGCTCTGACTTCATGGTTTCTCCCACCTCCCCCCTTCTCTTAGCCAAGATGGCATCTGAAGGAGAAAGCTTATATCCTGTCATGATAATGGGGCAGACAAGGAGAGGTCACTTGTCTACACAGAGTCCTGATCCTGTCTGTGGGGTCCTCCCCATTCTCCCTAGAGTTGATTTTGATCTTCCTGGTTGCTAGGTAGCTGCTGGCATCCCCGTTGACTCAGGGATGTGAATCTGGTGTTTTCAGAGCGCATTTTGAGCATTGTGGTTCTTCTTTGCTGACTTGGTCCCATTATTTTCTCTCTGACACAACAGACTCTTAAGGCTTTGCCACTTCTTTTCTCTAGACACTGGCTTTGGCTGTCTAACCGTAGGGAAGACTCTGGCCCTAAACATAGCAGCTCCATTGCAATCCTTCTGGTGTTCAGCTTTCCTTTCTCTTCCATGGACCCCAGGGCGACTCTGGGGGGCCTTCTCCACCATGTGGAGTCTGGGGATACTCAGAGAATTATGAGGGCCTCCTCTCTGCCATTCCCCTGCTCTGGAAGTGTCCACACGTAAGTGCCAGGCCAACCTGTGAGGCCGTGTCCTCAAAAGCTCGTAGCCATTTGTTTTTTCTATTTGGGCTTTCTATTTTTTTGTCATCCTCCCACATGTGGGGTTTGATGCTGAGGCATTTGTGGAGCACTAAGGACATTGTCCACTCCTTCCAGCACTAGAACGGCTTTTGTCTGCTGTGGTCCCTCCGTGCATTTCTTCCTTCTAGTTGGGCCTCACTCTCCCATTTCCCTGGGACTATAATGATAGGTGGGTTGCCGTGGGTGTGGGGAGGGGACCAAAACAATACTATTAGCAATCCAAAAAGTATTTAGGAGGTGTTTCAATATTTAAAGAATATGGGGCACCTGGATGGCTCAGTCGGTTAAATGTCTGACTTTTGATCTCAGGTCTTGACCTCAGGGTAGTGCGTTAAAGCCCTGTGTTGGGCCCTGTGCTGGGCGTGAAGCCTATTTAAAAAAAAATATCTTTTTCTTCTAAATTGATAAGTAGTGTGTGAGTTCTTAAACTACCCTTATTCTTTTACTAGTAGCGTAATTTTGAATAGTTGAAATAATTTTCTTATTTTGATCCATCCAAAGAATATTATTGAAATCAATATAAGCAGCATAACAAATAGCTACAAGAGCTAAGCCATATGTGCTGTACATCTAGTAACAACATGTATTCATTACTCAGCCCACTAATTATGGGCACTAATAGGCATCTGGCTAGCTCAAGTTCTCCATGATGATAATCCCTGCTGTGCGGGATTTTTTTTTTTTAAGTAGGCTTCACACCCAGAGTGGACCCCAGTGTGAGGCTCAGACTCATGACCATGAGATCGAGACCTGAGCCAAGATCAAGAGTCGGATGCTTAACAGACTGAGCTGCCTAGGTGCCCCTATAGATCTCTTAGGAACTAGGCTAAGGCTGAAGTCCACTTTTGGGGATAGGGCTGCACCCTCCTGGTTCTGAGATCTAGGAAACTCCAGATGTGGAACAAACCAACCAAATTCAGTGAGTCAGACAGCAGCAAAGATGGTGCAGGAAAGGGTTGGTCTCTAGTGTGCTTCTCTGTTGATATCAATCAACTATTCTTCCTTTTGCATGGTTTACTTTTACATAGAGGGAGTGCTTAAAAGATAAGGCAGGCTGTGAATTTGACCAGGTGTGCATGGTTATCACTAAGATTAAAAAAATCTCCCTTCTCACTCTATATATAGTGCATCATAAATCCCAGCCACCAAATACTAACTGGTGCCATTCTGTATCAGACATCGTTCTGGGCTCTTTGGAGTTAGAGAGTATTTACAATACGGTCCCTGATTTTAAAGCTAGAGTCTTGCTGGAAAGATCATTCATTCATTCGGAAATATGTATTGAGTTCATCCTTTGTGCCAGGCACTGTAATATGTGGGCAAAGGGCAGAAATGAAATAGATAGGAACCCTGCTTCCACGGAGCTTACAATCAGGTGATATTCATATTCAGTAAGTGACTCTGGCTGTAACCAAATATCCCCAATTCTAGCCTCATGGTGTTCCTTTCCTTTCCTATCAAATAAAAGAATTCAAGCACATTCTTGGGGCACCTGAGTGGCTCAGTTGGTTGGGCGGCCAACTTCGGCTCATGTCATGATCTCACAGTCTGTGAGTTCGAGCCCCTTCTTGGGCTCTGTGACAGCTCAGAGCCTGGAGCCTGCTTTGCATTCTGTTTCTCCCTCTGTCTCTGCCCCTCCCCCATTCGGACTCTCTTTCTCAAAAATAAAATAAACATTAAAAAAGAAAAAGAAAAAAGAAAAAATAGAAGAATTCAAGCACATTCTGGGTAGCCTCAGCAGACACAGACCCTCCTGAACCCTCTATGACTCCAAGTGTTCTTCATGCTCCACTGTCATTTGGCAGGTCTCACTCTGGACAGGTGCCCTGCATTCCTAATGGGCCCTTCCGCTTTCTCTGTTCTGCTTCTCTACCGGTTTCCTCTCCCTGCAGTGTTCTTCTCCAGACTGACTGTGATCCTCTCCCTTCTTTCTCTGAGGCCTCACCCTCATAGTTCTTCTTTATAAGACTCTCTACTGAGAACTTCACCTTAGGCTGGGGTGCGTGGGGAGGGAGGAAGTGAAAAGAAAAAAAGCAAAGTAAAATTTAAAACCACAGATGTGAAATGCTTAATGCACAGGAACAGTGGTATGTACTGATATTTTCCCACACATTTAAAAGTACTCCCTAACGTTCATTGACTGTTCCGGTTCCTAGCTGTTCACAAATGGATGCCATCTACCTCAGCTCCACTGATGTTTCTTACGTCGGTCATATTCAGACTATTCAGAGTCCCAGGACTGTAAATCCCCAGACCTGCTCTAGCTCTCAACCAATCCTTCCTCACAAAAAAAAGGAAGCCAAGAAAAAACATTACCTCTCAGCTCCCTCTTTCCACCAGGGAGGCAGTCCTTGACAGTGGTCTGCTGAGCAACTTGGTGCCTCTATGCAAACCATTCCCTTCCTAGGCCATGGGCTTCACCTTCACAAAATCCAAAGGGCTCATTAAAGTATTTCCCCAAACAAAAACAACTGAATTCCCCCAAAGGTGAATTCCACTGCTACCTCTGTATCACAGAAATGCCTTCACTTTGCCGTGTTCCACTCACAAGTAAGGGGAGGCCAGGAATGATGTGGGAACATATAATGTGGTACCCTCCTTCTGTGGGGGCCAATACCAGAAGGATGAATGAAGTCTTCTAGAGGAAGAAGTAGCTGGATGGTGCGAGGTAGGCATATGAGGAGCAGCATTCAGACATAGGGAACAACATGGGCAGAATCCCCGAGTTTCCAGGAGGCACAACATTCAAAGAACAACGATGCAGGTACTGGTGAGGCATGGAGAAGGAAGGAGAGAGATGAATGAAGTCTGAGAGGTAGACTAGAGTCTTGTATGCCATGAAATCGATTTTGGTCTTTACTCTAAAGATCATATAAAAATTTGCATATGCAATTTAATAAAGCATATGTGTGGGCATATCTGTGAATGTATGTGGATAGTGACAAGGTTTGCTTTATCAGCATCTGTATAGAGAATGGCTTAGTTAGCAATATCAGGTGGCATTTGCTAGATGCTAACTGAGCAGGAGCAGTGGTTGGTACTGATGTTTATCCATGCAATTGTAGATCTCTTAGACATCAAAAATTTCTTCCCAAGGCCCCAGGAAGAAGGAGTACTGCAGCCCAGTCACAGATGATGTTCCCAAAGTGGGAGGCAAAATATAATACTGTGATAATTTATCTAGCAGGTCTGTGTGATTATACACATTGCTATAAAAGTACCTGGTAGGGGCGCCTGGGTGGCTCAGTCAGTTAAGTGTCCGACTTCAGCTCAGGTCATGATCTCGTGGTTCGTGAGTTCAAGCCCCGCATCGGGCTCTGTGCTGACAGCTCAGAACCTGGAGCCTGTTTCAGATTCTGTGTCTCCTTCTCTCTCTGACCCTCCCCCGTTCATGCTCTGTCTCTCTCTGTATCAAAAATAAATAAACGTTAAAAAAATAAAAAAAAATAAAAGTACCTGGTAGGATAATTTTATGGAGGAAAAGTTCCTCCTGAGTTGGCATCAAAGGCAGATAGACATAGGGTGATGCTAATGAAACTCAAGCTTCAAAGCCCCTCCCTCGCACAGATCTTTCCTAAACCTTCGCCCTGCTTTCATATATTCACTTTATTAAAGAAAGTTTTATACTTTTCAGGTTCCTCAAAACCTGGATCCACTTCTGTCTGGTATGATACCCAGGCATTCATGGAGAAAGTGGGATCTGAACTAGCCCTTGAAAGAAAATTAAGCTGGGCATATGCCAATAGAAGTGGAGCTCATTTGGGATGAGGAGGTCTGTAGGGACAGTGTATGGGGTGAATTGTAGGGCAGTGAGTTGATTGGTCAATGGCATCCAGTTCCCCAACTCATCATCTAGGGTGTCCACAGAGCCATTGTTTAGTTATTAGGGATAACTAAACATTATTAGCTAAACATTAATAACTAAATATTATTACCTAACTGCTGTTTAGGTTCTTTGGGATATAAGAAATGGAGTACCTCTCAGGTTAGCTCAAGCAAGTGGAGGTTTATTGTAATGGAATATTGTGGGCTGGAACATGTAGTCTGGAGTTAAAGGATAGATCAGAATCAAGAGAACCAACACTTGGAATAAATAGAATTCCACACTAGTCTTCCACCAACACTGGACCTAGCTATTTTCTACCTGCCTGACTGTGTTTCCATTATCAATTACCAAGTTTCTCTCTCTGCTGTCAATATAAGTTCTTAGCTTAATGATTTGTGCTTGCATACAATATCTGCTTCTTCACGGCTCTGGTCCTGCTCTGGTCCTCATTTGCTCAACATTTCAAAATTCAGGTTCTTAAGAGAAATCTCTGTCATGTCAGCTCATTGTTCCTTGACTGGCAAAGTCAGACATCAGTGGCTAGCCTATGCCTTGGGATGGTATACTTTTTCCAATTGGGTATGCCTGGGATGTATAGAATCCTTGTACAAAATATGGCAGCCCATAGCTTCCCCTTCAGCAGGGGTCATGCAGAGGAATTTCTCTTACAAGCGTCTATAGATGTGACTGGCTATTCAGTATAGCTGAAATAGTACTAGCTAATAAGTCCTGAAAGCTCCCTCTGTGTCCCTATTTCTGTTCTAAGTGTTTCTTATATATTAACCCTTTTAATCCTACCAACAATCTTATGGGGTATTAACTACCATTGTCCCCATTTAGCTGAGGAGGAAACTGATGCCCAGTAAGTTCCAGTAACTTACTCAGGATCACACAGCTAATAACTAGTGGAACCAGGATTCTAGCCAGGTAGTAGTTTTAAAGTCCATTGTCTTCTACACCACATGTGAGATTTTCTGTGAGATTTTCGGAAGGCTGGTGTGTAGCAGAGACTAGAGGCAGAGAAATCACTTAGGGGACTAATTTGGGTTGCACTGATGATGTGCGTGGACAATACAGGAGGAACTAAGAAAAATGCAGAAAGGATAGGGAAGAAAGGATTTTCCACACACACACACACAAATAAGAGTCATTTGGATTTGATGGTAAGTGGGAACAGGGATTTCAAAATAAATATTCAAGTGAAACACATAGTACATCCCCTGCTAATGAAAAAACAAGTTGGAGAATACATTTTAAATTTCTTAGCAGTGGGAAAATGACTAATTGGTTATCTGAAAATACAGTGTTTAAAGGCTTTTATCAAATGCTATGTAAGAAACTGTTATATTCTTTCTTACAGAGAAGTATTATACAGTGAAAATTTCCCCGCCTCTAGATATCCCCACAAAAGGCTGGTTAGACTTCTAGGTTACTGGGAAACTCTGGTTTTTCTAATTTTGCACAGTGTTTTGAAGGGAAAACATTTCCCCCTTAGGGTGTAGCATGAAATAAAGAAAATTTGTGGGTGAGCTATATCTTCAGTGTTGGTATTCAAGCTTCTCAGAGTCTCCTGGGGAGCTGGATGTGAGAGCAAATATGCCAGGCACAGTAAAAGATGTGGTAGAAGTGTGGACAATAGTCCATGAGAGCCAGCGAATAAAGCCCTTATTGCTGTCTGTGGAGCCTGGGACACTGTTCCCCAGAAGGCGGTGTTTAACATTTGATCCTTTGTCCTGCGTTTGGTTGCTGGCTGCCAGTCATCCATTTGTAATTCCAAAAATTGTGTCAAAGCTTAGACTTCTTGGAGTGGATACCTGTCCAGGCTCCCCAACTGCTCTGCAGCTGTACCCAATATTAGCCCCACAGTGAGCTGCACATTACAGCCAGCTGAGTTTGCTTTCTTACTCTTGTAAATTCAGGCCTGTGTTCAAGCTTTCCCCTCCTCCCCACCAGTTCTTTTCACACCCAATATCTCTTGATGAAAAGTCAAACCCCTCCTGATTCACTTTAATTTCCCTTTTCTCTGAATTCTTGGGGTGTTTACAACCTGTACTATTGCAAGGAAGCTAGTGTTACCTGCATTTAAAGTATTTTGTCTTTAGAATATATTTTATTTTATTTTATTGTTTAACTTTTTAAAGTTTATTTATTTATTTTGAGAGAGAGAGAGAGAGAGAGAGAGAGAAATGGCGTATGCACAAGAGTGAGCAAGAGGGAGGGGCAGAGAGAGAGGGAGAGATTGAATCCCAAGCAGGCTCTGTGATGTCAGCACACAGCCCAATGTGGGGCTCAAACTCACGAACTTGTGAGATCATGACCTGAGCCGAAATCAAGAGTTGGAGGCTTAACCAATTGAGCCACCCAGGCGCCCCTCCACCCTATTTCTTTATTTTTCAACTGGTATAACCACTTTTTAATGGTTTTTATGACATTATTTTTTAATTTAAATCCAAGTTAGTTAACATATCGTGTAATAATGATTTCAGGAATAGAATTTAGTGATTCATCACTTACATATAACACCCACTGTAGAATATATTTTAATGTTTTAGACAGGAAAAGAGATAGAATGCCTCCAATAGGCCAGGTTTAAATCAAAGTATTAGAGGTCACCTAGCCTAGTTACAGTGTAATTTTTTGTTGGCTAGTGAGGCTCCAAAAACCCAAAAGATGTAGGTCCTCTGATGAGAAGATTGTAAGACGTTAGAGCCTTTAGTATAGTTCTAGCTGTTCAAGATCTCATGGAGAGCCATGAAAACAAGCGTTAGAAGAAGAGATGCTGGGTCTACCTCTTTTGTTTCTCTGAGAAAAGAGCAGGAAAGGAAGGAAAGCTTTGGAGAGTAAGAAGAGAGAACCGTTTCTTCTTGTTGGTAGTGTGAAATAGCAGGACAAGGAGTAGACACGACTACGACCAGCATGCACATGACACTAGATAATCCACCAGCTGTATGCATTTCTTTAGAATTTTACTGAAGGTTATGGGGGCACTTGGTTGACTCAGTTGGTTGAGTGTCTGGCTCTTAATTTTGGTTCAGGTCATGATCTCGCGGTTGTGAGATCGAGCCCCGCATTGGGCTCTGTGCTGAGCATTGAGTCTGCTTGGGATTCTCTCCCTCCCTCTCCTTCTGCCTCTCCCCAGCTTGCATGCATTCTCTCTCAAAAATAAATAAACATTAAAACAAAGATTTTGCTGAAGTTTATGTATCTACATTTCTTATACAAAATAATTAACTAATTGATTTATCAGAAAGCAATATTTTTATAGTCAGGTAATGAATTAAAAGCAAAAGGTCTAGTTTCTAGTCCTAGTCTACACTTGAGCAAGTCACATTACTGAGCTTTAATTTTTTTCACCTATGAAATGGAAATAATGTCAATCTACTTAGAGACACTCTATGTAAATCATTCATTTAGACATCAAATAGTAATTAAGCTGCACTGTGGAAGCCTCTAGACTAATCACTAGGAGCGCACCAATGAACAAAAGCAAATAAAAACCTCTGTGGGGCTCATTGACTAGTATAACGGGCCAGACTTCCTTCCTTCCTTCCTTCCTTCCTTCCTTCCTTCCTTCCTTCCTTCCCTCCTTCCTTCCTTTCTTTATTCCTCTCTCTCTCTCTCTCTTTCTTTCTTAGTTATTTGCTGAATAAGTGTTATATACTATAGTGGTATTTAGAAGTGGATCAAATCTGCAAATTAATTATCGGGCTTTGTGATGGAACAGAAATAAGGAAGCTGAATTTTAGGTGAGACATTGCTGCAAACTAGCTCTGTGACTATAAAAAGTAATGTTCCCTCATATCTTCATCTGTAAATAAGAGGGTTGGACTGTGTGATCTCTTTAGCTTTAAAATGTGCAGTTTTGTTTATTTCTTCAGGGATCACTACCATGCTTGCCTAAGAAGAACTCCCATATCAAGATATGTGTTACAAATTACAACAAATAAGATGATGGCAAAAGTCACCAGGTTATACTCTGGAGTGTGATTTTATGCTGTTTTCTGTAATTTTCTTGTTATTTCAATTGTCTCTGTACCAGATCATGCCAAGGCAGTAATCAAGAAATGCATAACATATCTTATTGCCTCGATTAGGTAAAACCCATTTGATATCAGAAGCCTAGAATTGCATTTCATTATTCTAAACTTATCTCCATTTTCCCCTCTCAAGTAGGTCAAATTCTGCCCCTATTGACTTACATGCTTTACTTATTACTTTGACCAATGACTCCCTTTTTTCTATCATAAAAATATAAAATTTGGAAAAAATTACATTTAGTGCAGCTCCCATCAGAATAATTTATTCATTCTAGATCTATGACGTTTTATTATACTTGTGTAACAAGAGAGGGACAATCTTGTAAATATTAAGTCTTACTATGCGGTACAGGTAGATGTAGCCCAGTATTACCATTCCAGAGATTATGATAAATACCCAAATTTTCCAAGACACTACTTTCACTGTCATGGGGGTTGGACTCAGTGAGGCAGTGTAGGTTGTAGTTAGCATGTATTCTGGAACCAGACTGTCTGCATTTGAGTCCAAACTCTGCCACTGACTGGTGGGTGACCCTGAACAAG